AACTGTCAGACATTCCAGCCCAGAGGTCTCTGGCAATGTCAGCGATTCTTCAGTGTCTGAAGGAATTTTCGTAATATATTGCACTTAATTTTCGTTTTAATTTCTAAAGTGATTGCAATAAAATTAATGTAAATTATTTTCACAGATGTATGATTCAAATGAAGACTACTCTAAATGTGATGATTCTGAAAGTAGTGACACAGAACTATCGGATAACTTTTCGGATAGTGATGATGATCTGGATGAATGTATCCAAAGAGAAATCACTGTTGATTCTCAAATAAATTTTGGTGACAATGAAAACGCATGCGCTTATAAAGTCCGTCAAATTTCTAGCAAAATTACCTACCCCGAGAGTGTGTTGATACGGTCTTTACTAATCCTTTCTGTTAAAATTAAAAAAAATTTAGATAACGAATCTGTTCAGTTAATTACTGAATTAGTAGATGCTTTATCCGATGAATCCTTAAATTATAATGCATTGTATCACTTCAAAAATATAATTGAAAGCTATTCATACCCTTTTGAAATTCATTATTTGTGTCCAACTGGTGGTTTATATATCGGAGTAAAAGTCATAACGGAAGAAGAATCAGCTTTAAAATGTCAAGGATGTAATGTTGATATTCTGCTAAAAACAAACAAACAGTCAGCAAAGTTTTTTTTATACTCTCCTTTAAGTCGACAGCTACAAGATTTTTGTGCTCAACATCATGAAAAATTATTATAACCGGTAGAACGGAGAAAAAAATGTTCCTACGCTATTGAAGACATAATGGACGGAAAGTTGTACAATTTACATCGTTTTACCGAAGATACATTGTCTCTCAACATTAGTGTCGATGGTACGCCTTCATTTAAAAGCTCCCAAACTTCAATCACTCCGGTATTGTGTACAATTAATGAGCTGCCTCCTCAAGAGAGAAAACAACACATTACCCCCACGGAAGATATATGCACAACTCATATATCCTTACATATATTCTGGAATATATACTTTAGTATATATCTTAGGATATATCCTAGGATATATCCTAGGATATATCCGGAAATTTCTCAGCGATATGCTCAGGATATATTTAGGGATATAATCGAGATATATCCGGTAATGTTTTTTCAGGATTTATTTATAATATATCTCGGAATATATGTGACATATATCCTATGATATATATTTCTTTATATATCCGGGAATATGATCAAGATCAATACAGAGATATATTCAGAAATATATCCGGGGATGTATATTCATGATATATTCAGAGTATCATAAAAACATACCCAGGTATGTTTGAAATACACCTCTAAGTACGTTAAAAATATATTTAGGATATATGTTAGAATATGTGCATTGAAAATTACTTTAAATGTATTTTTTTGCATGTATTACTATATTTTTGATATTTGTTAAGCTCTATTTTTTAAGATAATAATCCAAAAAAATGTAAAATAGAAAGATTGTACATAATGATGCATCAGAATATTTTTAAATAAAGCTTTAGAAGTAGTTTTAAAATTAAATAATAATTAGAAAATAATATATGTTTAACTGTAATTTTGAACTTTTTAAAATTAGTTGAAGTTATATAAGTAAGAATAATAAAATTTTTTTAATGTTAAAAAAAATAATATAATGAATAAAGCTAATCTTCCTTTTCTTTATTATCGTTCGGATTGTTATTTTTCTGAAACAAACAAATATATGATTATTATTTTTAAATAAAAATGACATATATTACAATCAATACGTACTTTTTTATAGTTAGCTTTTTTTTTCACACCTTAAGTTTCCGCATTTATTATTAATTGCGCTGCCAAAAGCGCCTTCTTTGAAATCAGCATGGTGTTGCTTCACAGTTTCCATAATGTTTATATTATTATCACATTAATACATTAAAAAAATAAATATCAATTTTGAATTATTTAATCGTATATAACAGGTAATTAATTCAAAAGATTTTAATAATTTAAGTCAAAGTAAATGTTTTAGTGTAAAATAATTTGAAAAATTTTACTCTGTACAGATATAAACAACTAACAAATACGTAGCGTCAATTAGAAAAATTTTTTATTTTTGACTGAATAAAAATTATTAATATAAATTATTAATTATTTTTATTACAGAAATTATTAATAATTTTTTATCAGATTATTGTTAGTAATATACAAATGTCGGTTTAGATTTAAAAATTATATCATACCTTTAATTGCATTCACAACTTTTGGATCGAGTGCTTGATATTTTTGAGCCTTTTCATCTGTATTTTTTGATTTGCTTCCTTTGTAGTTACTAATTAATAATATTTCAGGAGAAAACGTTGAAACAAGCAATGAGGTTGCCATTGATGTAAATGAATTTTTTCTTTTTGCATCTCTCCACTGATCATCAGTAATGAAAACATTCGATCCTTCGTACCGGAGTTCCTGTCATTTTAATATTAATATAAAAATAATTTTATTGATTTAAATAATTATAGTAGTACAACTTGTTATTTGATAAAATTAAAATTCATTTTTAATTATGTTCTTATTATTAAGACTAAATTATACATACGTACCACTTTTTTTTCTTTTGTTTTAAATTTTTTTGTTTTGGATGAAGAAACACCTGCTTCTTGAGGAACTTGATAATATTGTTTCATTTTTGCCAGTGCTACAAATAAAGTAAAATTGTATTTATGATTTTTTCTTAATATTTTTTAATTTTCATCGTTATACCTTTCTCTAAATCTTCTTTGGTTATAAATTGCGGAGCCTCACTGGATGTTGATGGATTTTGAAAACCTCCAAGTTGCTGACTTACGGAACTCTTCTAGGTGACAAAATAAAATTCATCATTTAATCATTTTTTTTTTTTTATAATTTAAAGTAAAAAAATATTTCCCTTAGTAACTTTATAACTCTTCACAGCTTATACATGCAATATTTATTTTATTCTAAGATACTTACAGCACCTGTCAAATTTAATGTACTTGTTGTATCTTCTTTTTTATCTGCGTCAGAGTCTAATGAAAATCTTAATTTTTTCCTAGCATTTTCATCATTTTCACGATTTTCAGGCTCAAGAGTATTATTATTAATGATCTCAACTTCTTCTTCTTCATGTAAGACCTGAATGTCGTCTTCATGAGAAGTTGAAATTAATAATAATTCAGGTTTAGGAGAAGGCCCGGGTGACTTGATACCCTCAAGAGCTTCAAGTTTTTTCTCTAAAGCTGGTATTGAATCTAAAATAATTAAATATTACTTAATGATCATGTCCTTATACTGAACTACATAGTTTTATTTTTTAAATAATACAAAAAATTCTTACGAGAAATGTCAACAATTATGGCATTGTAACATTTCCAACCACCTAAAGGCTCTTTTACTGTATCTCTCCACTCAATTACATATACAGTTTTTGGATCGTGGTTTTCATCCAAAAAATTATTAACATCGAAATCTTTAATATGACGTATATCTATGCCGGATGTCATTTTCTTATCATCTTCTCCTCCTATCCACTTCACCAAGGCCCACCATCTATCACTAAGAACTCAAATTTTCCAATTGATTAATTTTATTCATAAATTTACGGATTGAAAAACAATCAATTTATATTTCTATAAGAGAAAAATAATCTTATCTAAAATTTAAGATATAATTTCGATAGTGAAATTAACAAACATCTGACAGAGAGTATAATTTTTCTTAAAAAACAAATTATTGAAAATAAAGTTTTTAAAAATTTTTAAAAACTTTTGATTTTTTTACACACATTTTTTTTCAAATTTTGTAACCATATTTATTTATTAAATTAAATTAATTAAAAAATTATCAGAATTTTAATAGCCCAGCGCTATATAGAGTTATTTAATAGAATATAAAATAAATAATAATAATTGTTATAATTATAAAAAATATTTCAAGCAACGTTTTAAGGTTATCATATGAAATTTTAACTGATATTTATTGTTTTTAGCTAATTTATCATTAATAAAAGACATTTATACTGTCATTACATAGTAAATATTTTTATTTATTCATATTTGTCCTATAAAATCTTATAAATGTATTAAAAATAGCTGGCGTATAGTTATGATATACGATCATCACTGTTAAGTATCACGATACATAAAAATTCAAAATAATTAATTTTTTTTACCTTTTTTTAGTAGTCATTGTTTGCAAAATTAATATTTTCGAGAGAAATCAGAACTTATTAATTTTTTTTATGCAGCTTAATCTTAGAATCATGTAGCAATTTAGACTGAAGACGCTTAATGAAACGTCTGTTAGATGCCGGAACCCGCCATGTTGACTTTCAATTTTGCAGTAAGTTAACACAATGTACATATAAAATTGTAATTTAATAATTTTGTTAAAAAATTTTTTTTTCTACAAATAGAAAAATAAATCTGAAGTTTTTTTCAATCTATTTTTGTTAATTAATAATTATTAAAAGTTACTGTTAATAACTAAGTGTAATATTTTACTACAGTGAGGTTGCAGTTGGTACTAAATCACTCTCTGTTTAACTTACCGAACTTCATTTCTACCAATCTACAATTGCGATTTTTTATTTATTGCTTCATTATTATTTTCAGATATTACATTTTACGCAACTATGTTTGCATATAATTAGTAAATGAGTTATAAGGATCTATGTACTTGGTTTTTAATATTTTTAGTATAAAAATTTGATTTTATATTATTATTTTATTTTATTTTTTTTTTATTACTATGACTTGTATTTATGTAAAGTATTTAGTTAAAATTTCACGATACAATTAATCTCATATATTCTATTATATTCTAAGATTATCTTTAAATTGAAATACATGAAAGACTTGAAGTTAGTCAAAGGTCGAAACTCGCAAAAAAATGGGCCACGATTCATTATTGGTTTAAATTTAGGCGCGCGCGTAGCGCGCTATTCAAATTTCTAGTACATGATAATTATGAGTACTAGTTATTTGCAGCTTTAAGTTTTCTTTCCAATTACCATGTTGGTTACATTAAGTTAATAATTCATATTTGTTCGGATGAATACAGGCAATATGAACGTCATCAGCTGAGTCATGAATAATTGTAACTTTTTGCTGAATCAATTTTGCGTCAATCGCAGCTAGAGGTTCTTGAAGATCCGGAATTTTTGTGAATATTAAATGTTTCAACTGTACATTGGGGAAAAAATTATTTCTACATTTATTCATGTATCTTCCTAAAGCCAAACATCTGTCATTTTGTTGTACTTCAACATGAATAAATATGTCACTTTCGAAAACTTCTGTGTTTGATAATAATACAGTATAACTATTTCTTTTCTGAACTTTGGTATATGATTTACTATGTATAACTTCATTATTAGTGATTATTCTTTTATAATATAACACATCAGAGTTATCATCGACGCGGACATCAATCTGCCTCAATGCCAAACAGTGACTACCTGGTAAATCCTGTATCAAACCTTTTCGAATCATTTTAATTTTGTCAATCTTAGTTGAATTGCTGGAATATTTTTTTTTGTTTATCGATTTTTTTAAAAATTCCCGTTGGATTAAAGTTAAATCATGTTCATAACATTCTTCTAATTTGCGAAATGCAATCATACTCCGTAAAGATTCTAAAATTTGAAGCTCAGCTGAATTTGAACTTTTGACTAATTTTTTTAATAACTGGTGAAAGTTCTCATAACAAAATGCGCTGTGTCCATAGAGGTCCCCAGTTTAACACACTTTCCGGCAAATGAGTTAGAAGATGTACGTTAAACGCAATATGTTCGGGTCCATAAAGTGATTCAATATCTTTAACAAAATTAAAAATGCATTGCTGTGCATAATATACCTCTGTTTTCAAAATTGAAGTTTGGAGAAGTATTGATATGGCATCAACAAGAAGACTCCAATGATTAAAATATTTCCTTGGTAAATATCTTTTCAAACTTGGTAAACTATAAAATAACAACCATATAACTAACTCGTGTGCTTTAAGGTGTAAGCGATCAGAGATTTTTCGTGGAGTTCTGGTGATGTCCAACGATGGTTTAATTGATGTTATAAAATAATCAATATCATTTATTACGCGGCCAAGATAAAATGATTTTGCATGATATTGAGGATCAAACCATAATTTTAAAAATTGCCGGCACACACCTAGAGCAATGCAATGCATCCAATCGACTGTAAGATTTTTGATTATATCATAGTTTGGTATATCAAACAATTTAGAACGACCTTTAATGCCTTTTTCTCGTTCTTCTGCATGCATTGCTGTTTCTGAATGGGAACGCAAGCCTTCTCCGAAAGCATTTCCTTCTGCATCTATCGGATAGACACGAACATGTCCAGCACCTTTTTGCATTTCTTCTCCTGGATGTTTACAAAGACCGCAGCCGTACTCTCCTCGAAATGATTTGGAACATCTTAAATTAGGCCGCTCGACTGAATCACATACTCCGATTGGAATTTTAACTGTTTTTTTGTAGACTCTACCATTAAATGTGTATGATATCCCTTCAGTAGCTAATTTTTTACTTTCTTCGACAAAAGGTGTTTGTTATGTAAAAAATATTAATTTAGGGTAATTAATTAATTTTACATTTAAAATATTTAATGTGTTTAAGTATTTGGTCCTAGCGTGTTAGGCTAATAGACCGGGAACTTCCGAGTTTTAATTTATTGAGAATGATAAGTTTGTTTGAATAAATTGATGTAGTTGAATAATTTTAATACATATATTATTTAAATTAAAAGTTAATTAAGTTACAAAATTATTACAATTGTTACAACTATTACACTATGGTTGAAATTTAATATTTTCTTTCATATAACGATTTTGCCAAATTATTAAATTCACAAATATTAATAATTAAAATGTACCTGATAAAGTTGAGGAATCTTGTTAATTCAAATTGCTTTAGTTGATTTCACTTTATGAATCTATTTTACTTTTAAAACTGTTAAAATTTTCAATGAGACAAAATTACACGTGGTCTATTGAGACTTACTTAAACTGTGTACGATGTTACCACTAGATAGGTCGAAGCACGAAGAGAGCGAACACTCAGCAGTTTTCCGGGTCCGAGATTTTTACGGTCCCTCAATTGTTAATTGGAGGGAGAAACCAATGTCCAATTAGCTATCGAATTTCGGGGACTCTTACCCTCTCTTCGGATGTTTCGGAAAACTACTATAGTGGCAGTCTACTCTGTATATCGATGCACAAGTATAGGTCACAGGATGTGCACTGTACATTTGTGATAATGTATAGGCGCATCTATACACACACACATATGCACACAGAGATCTTAATGTTAAACTGTACTTTACTCTATGAGAATTTTAGATATCAATATTCTTTAATTTATATATGAAGTTAAATTATTTAAACGCTTAAACTACGTTTAAATAATGTATGTTAACAATCGACTGAAAATTTAATGAACAATTAGTCAGTCATTGTTAATAATTAATTTAAAATTTTCGAATTGTTTATTCTTATCTCTTAATATTTAAATTCTGTTCTATTTTATAATTCTATTAATTAACTATTCATTTGAGACATTATTTTACTTCTAATTGTTTATTATTTTAACATTTGAATTCTATTTGTTTAATGGTTTTTATTTTTAACTATTCATTTTGGGTCATTATTTTACTTCTAATTATTTATTATCTTAACACGTGTTTTAACTAAATTATTTTAGTCTATAGGTTAAAAGCGTTGTTTAAGAATTTTACTTATTATCGAAAAATTATTATCTTTCTAAGCTTAAGTTAAAATCTTTTTATGATATGTCTACACAGTAGACCCGAAGATATTCTTAATGAAATTATAATTACGAAAATTTCCCAGTCCGGACTTTAGTGCCACAGTGCATTTAAGGGCAGCTTTAGATTTGAGAATACCCCGATAACATCTTCCAATGTTTCTTTTAAACGGCTACTAGTTCATTTACGTATACAAAACTCCATTTACTTGTTTGTTAAGCTTTAAAATCTTAAATGCATTGAGGTTCCAGACTAAGTATCTAAGTAAGGGACATGGATTCTAATTATCCTATTACCTGGTCTACAAACGAACGAAAAATTATGACGGTCTTCAAAAGAAAAGAAATTAATAATAAAAATTAATATTAATAAAAAATTAATATTAAAAAAAAAATGTTTTACATAACAGTTAAATATTGATTCATATCAGTTTTATGTTTTCCCAGGAAAATACTAACAAGCATTACATGTTTTTTGCGTTCTTGAGGATGGAGCTCATTAATTGTACATAGCACTGGAGTAATGGAAGTTTGTGAACTTTTGAATAAAGGAGTCCCGTCGACATTAAAATTTAAAGATAATGAATCTTCGCTCGAGGAATCCAGATTGTATAATTTCCCGTCCATTATGTCTTCAATCGCAAAATAACATTGTTTTTTACGCTGTATTGGGTACAACAAACTTTCATGATTATGAGAGCAAAATTCTTTTAGCTGCTCAGTTATAGGAGAGTATAAGAAACAGTTTTCTGAACGTTTATTTTTTTTTTTATCGGAACGTCAATATTACATTTCTCACACCTCAATGTAGATTCATCCTCAGTTTTACATTGTACTCCAATATATAAACCACAAGTCGGGCATAAATGATGGATTTCGAAAGGAAATGAGTAACTGTCAATAATTTTTTTAAAGTGATACGACGTTGTACAATTTGAGGGTTCATCAGATAAAGAATCTACCAATCCGGCTATAAGTTGGACTGTCTCATTATCTAAACTTTTTTTAACCTTTATGGAAAGGATAAGTAATGTCCTTATCAAAACAGCTTTCGGATACCTGATGGTATTGGAAAGTTGACGAGCTTCATCAATGCATGGATTCTGATTATCATTGAGAGTTGTTTCTAAATACACGTTCATTTCTCCTTCAACATAATCATTCGAGTCATCATCACTATCCGCGAAGTCATCTGATAGTTCTGTATCACTGTCCTCGAGGGTGTCAGATTCACAGTACTCTTCATTTGAATCGTATACCTATGAAAGAAAAAGTAAATCTTAATCATACCTTAATAAGCTTGATAAGTATGTGAAAAAAAAAAATTATTACGAAAATTCCTTGAGGCACGGAAAAATTGCTAGTATCGCAAACGCTTTCTGGATCAGAATCAAGGATGGCTGAAGGAGATAATGATCTTGGATTCTCAACGAAACTTGATGCTTTATGTAAACCACTAAGATAAGACTAGGAAAATTCCAGATGAATAAAATTACTGGCCAGTTTTTTAATTCGTAATAAAATTCTTTACAAATATTTAACAATATCAACATAATCTTTATATATAAACATATTGGCAATAATCAAACAATTCTAGATCAAATTTTATCTTGGATTAAAAAATTAAACTTTTAAAAAATATATTAAACAAGTAATAACTAGTGTTATATCCGGCGTTGCCTCATATAACAAACAGGGTCTCTCCCCTTCGATGAAAAGTACAACGCTTGCACTTTGTTAATTTCGGCAATCACTCGGACAACACCTCGATGAAGAAATGAGCACACTGTCCACGTTCTGTCAAATTGCAAATTTAGACCAATAACAAAATTTAACTCCCTTCCGAAAATCACGATCCGGGTGTATAAAAACACCAAATACCACGGATCAAATGTTCAGTCTTTTATCAAAGAATACGAAGGAAGGTATCTTCGTAGAACCCGTGTGGGTCCTTGTACCGCGTTACGTACGAGGCAGTGTAAAGCACTAGGTCGCTTACACAAAACTTCTAAATTCATTATTCTCATTTTGATTCTTTAAATTATACCTTCTACGAACCGCGCCAGTGTGCTCTTCGAGCTGTATCGAGGGCCCCGTTGTCCGTAATGGTATCTTTCTCTAAATTCAAATCTTTCGATCCATAACGACGGATCTTTGTGAGTCGTAACTCTGTTCACGAACTCACATAATAACATTGCTAATCACAAAATATAGTTATAAGTGAATAATAGGGTGATTCATTTCCGCAAAATTTTTTTTTTTTTCGGTGCTCATGAAAAATATTAATCTACATATAGAAAAAAAAATTCCTACCAAGTTTGAGCTCTTAATATTAAT